TCGTGTTTGTATTTAGCTATTTTAAGTGTTGCTTTTCCTAAATTCTGCCTTTTATCTAAAAATGTGTTTTAGTAAAAGAACTGTCTTTTTTTCTATACTCATTTTCTCCTTTATATCACTGGGTAGTTTTTATTTTTATACATATATATTTTTTAATGTTGTGCGTGTCTGTAACAGATCTCTAATATTTGGCAAATTGATGTAATTTTAAAACCCTACGGTTGGGTTCTTCCACAATTTATTTAATGCTTATAAGACTAGTTGGTGGATATTGATGTACCTCTTGTTTCAAATTTATTTCCAGTTTATCTGTGGTAGAATTTAAGGATATATCATTTTTTAGATTTTGTGAAATTGCATCTTGATTACTCAGTGCCTTTGAACAAATGACCTGGTGAATTTGCTCCTTCCCTGAGTTAACATTCTGGCCAGAGTTAATAGTTCTCTAGTTAAGCTTGTTTCGGAATTTTTATTGTCATTGTAGATTGCAAGAAGAAGCTTTGCGGGTCCTTAGATGGTCTGTTTCAAATTTATCAAACAGCAGTTATTGGGGAAGGCCCCTTCAAAGTTTCTGCCGAAGACTCGTTGCATCTGGTTGAAGCTTTAAGGTATTATCTATTTCTTAGAAGCTGATCCCTAAGTTAGACTCTTTATCTTGTTATACCCATAGTCTCACCACTCTCCCTGCAAAATAAACACACTAGTCCCCTACTTTTGCAGTATGGTTATTACAGAACTTCCTTCAGAACAAGCTAAAAAGGCCCTTGAAGCAGTATGCTTGCCATCTGTTGCTCCATTACAAGTTAGTCTCCTTTCTAAGATTTTCGGAATGACTTTAAAGTGTCAAAATACCAATAATTTGAGATTACTCTCAGGAGATGATCAATCAAGGTCCCCTGGTTTTGGGGCAAAAAACCGCTCGTGAATTAACTGTTCATTTTGATCGACTTGCAAATATATTTAGGTAAGAAGCATTTACCTTGTATCGTCTTTCATCTTGATTTTATTTGCATATTGTCAATTTTGGGACTGAAACCATTTGCAGATATGTAAATCACCCAGAAGCGGTTGCAGATGCAATTCAAAGACTTTGGCCTATTTTCAAAGCCATTTTTGATGTGTAAGAAAGTTGTTTGCTGTAAATATTATTTTTGGGATAATTCTTTGATTATAAGCTTGCCTGATTGTTGTGTCTGACAATATTCACATAGTCGTGCTTGGGACATGCGAACAATGGAGTCTCTTTGCCGGGCTTGCAAAAATGCTGTAAGTGCGCTTATCTATGCCATCTCCTGCCTAGGGGTTCAAGGAAAATATTTCTCAAGCCGCCTAATAATGGAAATGCTGTAGTGGCACATCTACTGTCACTATGTGCGGTTTTTCTTAGTCCTTTGAGTGCTTCTTGCTCGTCTCTTCCTTATTCTTGTGCCTCTTGACATCTAACATCAATGACTGATTACTTTCTGCTTTCAGTGAATTTTTGCTGAGATATGTTGCTTAATGTCATGACCTCAAACTGCGTTATGTTCTGTTGAATTATGATTGATATAACCCCTCCAGATTGATTAAAATGATCTGGTCTGAACTCTGACAAGTGGGACCTTGTCCAACAGCGAGCCAAATGGTATTACATTCCCTAACTCTGATGATTTCACCCATTAGGTACGAACTTCGAAGAGGCTCATGGGAGTTACGATTGGGGCGATGCTGGAGGAAATACAAGGACTATATGGACAACACCACCAACCCTGCTTCCTTTATCTCTCTAGTGAAGTCATTAAGGTATTTGAGTTCTGTTACATTGCAAAGTTTTAACCAAATTTGCAATCGCCATTTTGAGCAACAGTTGGAACGTCTGCTGCAGATATTTGGTTCCGATCCAACTTGTGCAAATTACTTGAAAGTTCTCATTGAGTCTCTCTTTAGCCATACAGCGTGTCTTCTTACAAAGATTCAGGTGCAGTCTGTTGCTTGATTTTGCATTTTATTGCTAGCTATATATGCTAATTCCGAAATTTGGGCTATAGGATTTCACTTCCCGTCCGGATATAGCAGATGATTGTTTTTTGCTGGCATCAAGATGTATTCGCTACTGTCCTCAACTACTTTTTCCATCTCCTGTGTTTCCATCATTGGTGGATTGTGCCATGGTAGGCATCACCGTGCAGCATAGGTAAAATCGTCTCTATTTGGAAGTTCTTGCCTATATACATCTGTTTGATGTAAAAAAGCTCTGGTTCAGATATGTAGAATGGGTGAAGATGTTGTATTCTGGATAGTACCATAAAATAACTGTGAGACTATGTGAAGCCATATGTCTTATGGTTGAATCTTCAGGGCCCCGATAGTTTCGGTCCTTCATGCATAGACGCTATTGTTGAGATATATACCTTCATAGGCAAAACTTTAACGTACCTTTATCATTTCATTAGGGGCAAAACTTTAATGTACCTTTATCATTTCATTAGGGGCTCTTGCGAAGACAACTAGGATTAGATTTCTTCTCCTACAGTAGTTTCATTATCCTTTTCATCTGGTATTTTACGAAGTTTTGATTGTTCTAACTATTGAAGCATTGACTGTATTGTAGGGAAGCTTCCAATTCAATATTGAATTTTTTGTCCGACATATTCGATCTTGCAAACTCTACCCAGGGAGAAAGTTGCCTATCCATAAGGGACAGTGTAATTATTCCTCGAGGACCCACTATCACCAGAATTTTGGTTGCTTGTCTAACTGGAGCCCTTCCCAGCTCACGACTAGAAACAGTAAGTACACATCCTTACCTTCTACAGAAGGCAGATGAGTTAAAAAGAAAGGTGTAGGATTCTTTTGTTGACAGTTATTTTTGTCATTCAGTTACTCCGAACTGAGCTGTTTCCTCTGTAGGTAACTTATGTTCTATTAGCATTGACCCGGGCATATGGATTGAAAGCCCTTGAGTGGGCAAAGGAATGTGTGTCCTTAATTCCATCAACAGCTGCTACAGAATTGGAGAGGACGAGATTTTTACAAGCTTTGTCAGATGCAGCCTCTGGAGCAAACATGAATAATCTGGTGGTCCCAATTGAAGAGCTTTCAGAGGTTTGCCGGCGTAATCGAACTGTTCAGGAAATAGTTCAAGGAGCTTTGAGGCCACTTGATCTGAACATAGTAGCTGTATCATAGGGGAGATGGTGCAGAAGGGCCTTTTTTTACCATTGCCCTTCTCTCAGGCGGTAGTTTTTCATGATTCTTTGGAGGCCTTATTTCATTGTTTGTCCATTATTGCGGCTTGCTTATTTATACGAGTTGATGCGGCAAAAGGGTGGTGTTGTATTAATGTAACAGTTCTCTTGGCTTGGCCTTCACTTTTGGCCCTTTTCGTTTTCTTGGGATTTTTTTCGAGGGAGAGGAGTTTCCAGTTTTGAGGTTTAATCCTGGAGTCCAAAGTATAAGCTTCTTGTATTTGGTGAGATTTTCCAGTTCAACAGTGTACAGAAAAAATGCATCAAACCATGTCACTTGTGCAGAATGAAATTTGCTTTCGATCCGTTCAATAGACTAGTTTCTGGACATGTACATTGCATGTGTATTCCATTTCGATCAATATACTTTAAAAAAAAATATGTATGTGATAAGTTGCACGAAATTTGAAGGGGGAAAATACAAGCTCAACCTTAATTGTTGAATGCAAAAAAATGATTAGATATCGTTCAAACTGCAAAGTTGAACAGATATATTTGTTAGTTGGGTTGATATATACGTACACACTCAAACCAACAGAAATATTATGTGACACTTCTACTAATCCATCGGTGTAGAAGGAATAAGTAGTATAAAAGAAAGAAAGAAAAAGGCCTTACGAGAGATACAGACGCAAAGCTTTTGGATGTATTTTACCTTCGTATATATAAGACGTCAAAATACAACGCCAAAGGAAAAAGTATCAAACTTGCCCTTCGAAAAAGTTATCCTTTTTATATATGATCATCCGAAAATAATAGTAACAAATAGGGAATTAAAATTTCAGCTACAAAGATTAAGAATCATATAATTAAATGAAAGACTCTATCATAGTAAAAAATCTTCATAAACAAAGACATTCAATTTACTTAAAAACAAATCAAGAAATGTTATCCAGATTAGACAAATAGTGAAAAACATAATCCAAACTTTCATGTATAAAAAAATGGTTGGAAAGAACGAAAGACGGAACAAAGGTATGCAATTAGCAAAACACAGCTAAAAGTAACAGGAAAGAAATAGTACCTGATTTGACAGAGAGCATAAAAGTAATTCTAAGGAAATGAAAGATTGTAATAGTCCAACTTTATCAAGGAGCTAAAAAGGTGCAGCAGTTATAACTTTATGATGATTTACTCGGTTAATTGTAATTGTCTTTACGGAATTGTCTTTTTATTTACTACACATTTATGATAAGGTAAATTTACTTTTTGATACAAAATTATTATAAGAATAGTGAATAAAAAAAGGACAAAAAATGCCACTCAACTTTTTATGGGCAATTTGATAATTCAAGTTTGACATTTAGAGGTTCCCACTTTTAGTATAATAGTCTCCACATGCGTTGCACGTATATTTTATATTACTTTTTTTAAAAAGACTAAAAATAGTTATATTTTATATTACTTTTTTTAAAAAGACTAAAAATAGTTAATGCATACATATTCAAAAAAATATTTTATTCCTTCACCAGTTCAAAAAAAATATTGTCTTTGATTAATCTACCTGGGACAAAGGCTGATTGACTTTTGTCCACAAGACTGTCCATCACCCCCTACATCCTAGTAGTAAGGTTTTTTGTAAATCAGCTTATATAGCATAGTGCAGCATGCTATTGGTCTGAATTCTGATATTCTTGTGGGGTTCTTAATCTTTAGGATTAATGTAATTGTTGTACAGTTTATAGCTTTGTATATATCTCCATCAATGAAGAACTGGAGGACAACTTCAGTAACTTTACTTCCAATCACACCCCAAGCTTTCTTGAAAAAGAGTTATTTAAATCCATCATATCCGGGAGCTTTATGATCATCAATACTCATAAGGGCATGAAATACTTCATCTTGAGTTACCTGTGATACTAGCTGTAGTTGTTGATGTCTATTGAGCACATTCCCACGTTTCATAACCTTAAGGTCTATTACTGGTAGCTGGGCAGCAGCACTCCCTAATAGTGTTTTATAGAAACTAGTCACTTCTGCAGCAATATCTTCTGGTTGTTGAATAATATCTCCTTTGGAATCAATAAGGCTTGTAATTCTGTTCTGAGCCTGTCTATTCCTCAAGCTAGCAAAGAAATAAGCATTGTTCTCATAACCTAGTTCTAGCCATTTGTTCCTAGATTTCTGCTTCAGAATACTTTCCTCCACTAGGCTCCATTTCTCTAGTTCAATCTTCACTTCTTCCTCTTCTTCAAACAGTAGATCTGGTTGAGTGTGATGGCCCCTTTGTGTTTGAATATATTGCAAATTCTGTCTATAGAGCTCGATCTTCTCCCCTATATTTCTGAATTCTGTATGATTTAGTTGTTTCAACTCTTTCTTCATTGTTTTAAGCTTCCACCATATGTCTTGCATGTGCTGTTTTTCTATAGTCTTGCACCAAGTATTAGCCACCACTTTTAGGAAGTCTGTGTGATCTGCAAGGCAATACAGGAATCTAAAAGGCTTTGGAAATACTACTAGATGTATGCTAAAAATAGACATGAGGAAGGCTTATGACTCAGCGGAATGGCCATATGTTGAGCAAATCCTACAATGCCTCCAGTTTCCAACAAAGTTTATCAGATGGATTATGTGCTGCATTTCAACTGTATCCTATTCAATTCTACTCAATGGAGAGCCACTGCCACCATTTCCAGCTAAGAAAGGTCTAAGGCAAGGAGATCCTCTCTCCCCCTTCTTATTTGTGCTTGCCATTGAATATTTCAGTAGAAGTTTGAAGGGTGTCTGTAAGGACAAAAGGTTCAAATTTCATCCAAGATGTAAGAAGCTGCAGATTATACAGCTTGGTTTTGTAGATTATCTTTTATTATTCTGCAAAGGTGAATTAGAGTCTGTCACTGATCTAATGCTTCTAAAAATTTTCACAGGTGTCTAGATTGATTGCCAATGTTGAGAAAAGTTCAGTGTACTTTGGTGGTGTTCAACAGGATATCCAACTGTTGATTTTACAGACTATCCAATTTGGCAAGGGTGAACTGTCTTTTAGATACTTAGGAATTCCCTTGAGTACAAAAAGGCTGTCTATTATTCAATGCAAACCTCTAATAGACAAGATGCTGGCTAGAATCAAATCATGGACCACTAGATACTTATCATATGCTGGAAGAATCCAGCTTGTGAAATTTGTGCTGTACTCTATTCAAGTCTATTGGTCACAGGTGTTTGTACTTCCAAAAAAGGTTGCTCATATGATAGAAGGTACCTGCAGAAGTTTTCTGTGGACCGGAGGAAGTGAACTTAGCAAGAAAGCACTGATTGCATGGGATAGGCTATGTCTTCCTAAAGCTGCTGGGGGTCTAAATATATTAGACATCTATGTATGGAACTGCGCTGCTATTGGCAAACTCATATGGAACATATGCAAGAAGAAAGATTATTTGTGGGTAAAATGGATCCACTCCTACAATACCAAGACAGGGGAAGTATGGGCTACTAAAACTACTCAAGCTTCATGGGTGGTACAGAAGATCATTAAAGCAAAAGCATGTTTGAACAGATAGGCTTCAATGAAACAGATGTAGCAGCTATGCCCAAGTACTCAATAAAGGACATATATGGAGCCTGTCGTGGGGAATTTCAGAAAGTTTCTTGGAGAAGATTGGTATGCAACAATGCTGGGCAACCTAAATGGACATTCATTTTATTCTTGGCTCTTCACAGAAGACTACAAACTAAGGAGAGGATTGCATGCTGGGCTAATTTAGATGATATGGAATGTGTGCTATGTGAACAGGAGAATGAAGATATCGACCATTTACTGTTTGAGTGTATATATGCCAAACAGGTGTGGTCAAAGCTCCTAGCTTGGAAAAGTATAAGAAGGGAAGCGTGGAACTAGCAGCACGAAGTGCAATGGGCTATAGAGAATGCTACTGGGAAGACTGCTCAACAGGAGGTATATAGGATGACACTAGCTGGTGGAGTATATCACTTATGGTAGGAAAGGAATTCAAGAATTTTCAAGGCTAACAGAAGATCTGCAAATCAAGTGATTAAGCAATTGATAAGAGAAATTCATGTTAGAGCTCGTAGAGTTAGAAGATTGGATAGATATATGAAAAATCTGAACTTTTATCCATAGGCAATAGAGTTGTGTAGATGAGACTGTGTAGAGATGATATGCAGTAAGTTTGGGACTTATGTCCAAACTGTTGCTTTCCAGTTTTAGTGATGGTTGTAACTGAAATTTTGATGAAATAATATATAATATAATTAGCAAAAAAAAAATATTTTATTAAATTATAAATTACAAATCTAAATATAGCAAAAGCTAGCATTCTTGTGTAACCTTAAGATCTTTTATGAATAAACTCAAAAGACATATTCTTTGATAAACTTTTTCTCTATTCTTCTAGTAATCATGCTTTCAATTATACTTTTGTATATTTCCTTTTTTGAATTCGACTGCTCCAAACTAATTTGGTCTCAAGTCAAAGCGACCAGAAATGAGGATTAGGCTTCTCTTCTGATTCTTCAAACAGTAATTTTGTCTCACCGCTTTATCCACGAAAGATAACTCATACTCAACATATGAGCCGAATTAACTGGAGAAAGAAGAATTAGAAACTAATACATAGACATTTCATTCTAGCGTTTCTTAGCCATTCTGCTACTCCAGTTTTTACAATTATTATAACAACCTTCCTAAAATTCATCTGTATTTGAAAATGCACAACACAAAGTTGCAAAAATTTATAAGATACTAAACCGGGAAAGTACTTTGAGCCATGTTAAAAGAATCATAAGAAATAAATTCTAATATTTCTCTAATGTCATGATATCCAAATATGAAGTTTTTGTATAACATCATTTTAGTGTGGAATTAAGCAAACTGCAGTTTTACGTACCAAAGATGCCTTACAAAATTCATAGTAATAATTTCTAATATGAGGAGGATAAAGTAATAAATAAAATAAATCATAATTATTATGAACATGGCACTCTAAGAGCAGCAAGTGTTAGAAATTCCGAGCAAATCATGTTTTACGATTTATAAATGCAATGCCTTACTTCACATCTCAAATTAATTATTTTTACCGTCAGTGAATAACTACACTTATATAAGAAAGGTAAACATAGTAAATTAAGAGTTCAGAGAGCAATAGTTGTTAAATTAATCTAACACACCAACAATCAATTAAATTATTATACCATGATGTCACAATGGATATAGTAATTTCTCAATAAATTAAATATTCACTTGAAAATAATACAAATGAGAAAAATGAATAAGTGTAAAGGATGAAAAATGTATCTAGCACATTAGAATCCAAGTCCTTTTTCATGTACTTGATCGGGGTATGGAGATTTTTTTCCTCAAGTGTTAGCAAAGTAAAATAACCCATAATCTTTTTTTCACGTCTTATAACATTTCTAATAAATTACCAACATAAATGCTCAATAACAATCAAAATTAAAGCAGTGAAGAAGATACCAATTCACTAAATACTCCATATTAAATAGCAGCAGCAACATATATTAATCTGATTTGAGGGATGGGATTTTGGGTCTTTTATTTTTCGAATATGGAGATTAGCTTCCCTTAACCGTATTAGACCCTTTCACAAATGAAAGGGTGCAACTCTTTAAGAAAAGTCACTTCTTAAAAATAATATAGTACCTTTTTCTTTTTATTTATTTTTTAAGTAGGATATTTAATTATTAAGGGCATATTTGTAATTCAACTTTTAATTGAGCTTCCCACTTTTATAATAATACTAGTCTTTATGTACGTGCCTTGCACGTATAACCCTAATTGAGAAGAGAAAAACGGGAAATAAAAAAAGCAACATAAGATATTAATAAATATTAGAAGTGTAGTGATAAAAGCGACTAATTCTTGTACAAAAAAAAGTTGATTTCTTATAGCTTATGAAGGTATCAAAGACGCAATTCTTTTAACTAATTTATGTCATGAATTTTTCGTTATGATTGTTACTTATTACTTATTTATATGAACAATTTGGGCAAGGAAGACTTTTGTTAACGTATGATAAGTTGGCAGATTGAATCTAGAAACTTAGCTTTCTAGTTTTGATTGTACTACAGGAAAGCCAAGAAGCTTTTGGCCTATGATATATCAACAATGTTAGCTTGTAGTTAATCTGTAAGTGATATCATTCATACTCTTATAGGAGTAATTAACTTACCACTATTCTTTTTTATTTTTTTTTTCGTTCTCGGTTCAAGTTCGGAAGATTCTATTGATTACCTAGAAGTTCTTTTCTTCTCTATTACCACGAAGCATAATAACTATTATCGAGTTCACACTTTTCTAATTCAAAATTACGAAGAAGTAAGGATAATTTTGAAATTTATTCACATTACTTGAGTTAAAATAATTTTTTAAATTTTTTGACAATCTCTAATGTAAATATGTGCCGTAAAAAATAATCCAATGTTCTAAATACAACATACGTCCCCCTCGACAAAAGAATACCTTAAAAATAATAATACAAATATTATTTAATAAAAAATAAATATCTATTATCTATAATAAGGCAAATATGAAAACGACAGATGCAAGAAACTTAAATTCATAAAGCCAATATTCTCAAAATGATATACACTTTCTTCAGGAATGTCATAAAATCATTTCCTTATATTATGCAGACATCCTATTTGTTTGGAAAGGTTCGGTAGATTTTCACATTCTATATGAATATTTTAATGTAATTTTTTCGTCCGTATTATTGGAACCATTTCATTATCATCTATGATCAATTTTTATTATGTAAAAAGAAAGATATTCATATAAACCCCTAGATCTTTATTTTTTACAATAAGATTTTACATTGAAAAATATTGTCATTTAATTATTTTTGTATTATTTAGGACTTTAAAATTAAAATAATTTTTAGCTATTAAGTATTTCCTTATTTAAATAGATAGTAACTTAATATTTAGAAACATAAAATATATTTTAACTTTAAATGTATATAATGAGTTAAGACTTTTAAGAGTAGTAATAATTTTCCACTTCGTTTAAAATGTCATAAATGTCAGTAATGTATAGTACTAATTTTCCTTTTATAGTAGCTTTGTAAAGATTTAAGACTCCTAAATCAAGTAAAACTATTTATCCCTTCTCCAAATATGACTCAAATTCCCACGCCGCAACTACAAAAAAGGAAAAGAACTAAACATATTTGTGGAAGAATACAGTTCCATAGTGTTGTCGAGAAGTAGGCGGTGAGGAGTAGAGTCCAAAACGATAGAGTCTGAAAAAGAATTTGACCCAAAATCGACTTTGTAGGTTCGGCGCATGTATAGTTTAAATGGAAAAGAAATTCACACCTAAATAATTATAATTATATCCTTAA